TCATCTAAAAACATGAAGGCCCCAGGTTTCGACAACATCCTGAATCTGGAACGTAAACACTTGAGTTCCAGATTCTACAACCATCTGGTACTGATTTTTAATCAGTGCCTCAGACTTGGCTACTTCCCCTCGTGTTCGAAGTCAGCTAAAGTCATACCCATCCGGAAACCTGGGAAGGATCCGTCCTCTCCTTCAAGTTATCGACCAATCAGCCTTCTCTCAGGGTTGTCAAAACTGTTCGAAAGAGCAGTGTACCACCGGCTCCTAACATCTGCCGATGAAAACAACTTGTTACTCGAGGAACAGTTTGGTTTTCGGAAAGGTCGTTCGACCGTCCACCAGCTGACTCGAGTAACAAACATTCTCAGACGGAACAAGTCTGTTTCGAAAACATCTGCCATGGCGTTGTTGGACGTTGAAAAAACATTCGACAATGGCTGGCATGATGGCCTGGTGTTCAAATTGCAGCAGTACGGTCTTCCAATCTTCCTAGTGAAGATCATAAACAACTATCTATCAGACAGGACGTTCCGAGTCTCGCTGAATGGCATCTCATCGGATGCTTTCAACATCGGTGCCGGGGTTCCACAAGGAAGCATTCTTGGCCCCATCCTATTCAACCTGTTCACCTCCGATATGCCGGCTCTTCCTGATGGTGGATCGTTGTCTCTGTTCGCAGATGACACATCCATCGTCTACAAGGGTAGGGTCATCGGAGCACTGACTGCCAAACTTCAGAGAGGCCTGGACGTCCTGTCTGAATATTTCAACAGCTGGAAGATCCGTATCAACGCGGCAAAGACCCAGGTCATTATCTTTCCACACTCTAAATCTCCTAGACTTGTTCCGTCGGAGAATAACAAGATCTGCCTGAACGGCACAGTGGTGGAATGGTCCAAAGAGGTCGTGTACCTCGGGCTAACACTAGGCAGTAAGCTTCTTTTCAGGGAGCACGTTGACAAAACAAAAACCTAGTGCAACATCTTGATAAGATCCGCTAATCAACAGGAAGTCAACCCTGTCCCTGAAAAATAAGCTTGCTGTCTACAAACAAATCATCCTTCCTGTAATCGAGTACGGTATGCCAATCTGGGAGAGTTGCGCAAAATGCCATAACCTTAAACTCCAAAGGATCCAGAACAAGATCCTTAGGATGGTCCTAAACAGTCCCCCGCGGACTAGAAATTCTGAGATCCACTTCCTGGCTGGAATTCAAACATTAGAAGAACGGAGAGTATTCATCCTGGAAAGGTTCAGAGACACCTGTCTGAGATCAAATCATCAGATCATACGTGATCTAGCACGTTAGGTTTAGTTATACCAACAATCAATACGAAACTAACGATTTTAAATTGGCTCACCAATTTAATAGCCTATTGGTCCCAAGCAAACGATTAACGTACCCTATTCTAGTTGAAATTCTATTACTACACTATGTTTGTTTTGATTCGCTATGAAAGTTTGACAGATAACATCAGGGGTGTGTGGATTCATGCAGAACATGCAGGGGTGAGTGAAATAGCTTGGGACTGCTTGGGACCGTTGTTCTGGTACTGAGTGAGCCAAAAATAATAATGATTTTCTTCGGGACCCAGTGGTCTTAGAGTTACCTCTATGGTTATACTCCTAGTTAGGTAGGTTATCACTTTTTTTCAATTCTAATAAAACAAAGGGATATTCTTTAAACTAGTCGAAAAACGCAAATATTAAATTAGAATATCAAATTAAACAAAGATGAAGAGCCAAGTAGGCTAATCAATTAAAATGATAAATCAATGTACTACCATAATCAACAGAAATAAACATAATTTTACTACTAATAAACAAAGGATTCTAATTCTAGAGCTCGACTCTGACTGAGTTCACCTTGGTCAGACAAATCGAAACTCTTAAGTCTTTTATCTTTGTGTCCCTGCTGGTTACTCCGCGTGGCAATCACAGAAAAGAAGTCCCTGTCTCGCGGGTTATAATCATCGGAAGATGACCGTCGGTAACCACGCGTATAGTAAATGCTGACCGCGTATAGTAAACCTCTATGGTACCAGAGCTGAGCCAAAAAGTAGAGCACGTTTCTTCGGGACCTTCTAGTCTTAGAGCTCTATGTCAATCCCCCCTATTCTGCGAGTCACGTGACTCTCTCTCACCGGTGAGGTGACAAAAGTCACCTCGTGTGAGGTGACTCTCCATTTGATTTGCATGGAGAGTCACCTCACACGAGGTGACAATTGTCACCTCACCGGTGAGAGAGAGTCACGTGACTCGCAGAATAAGGGGGAATATCATCAAATTCAAGCAGACCAGGACAAATTCAGCTCATTTCGTGAAATGAACTACCGTGGACTCCCGTTAATATGAACGACACATTTTTTTTTAATATTTCTGGAAAGGCAATAGTCCATTCTACGCGCACGAGTGTTCCCTAATAAAATTTGTATGGTTAGTTTGCTTAATGACGTTGTGATTAACAAATGATACCTATGTGTCGGACACATAATTAATATGTGTACACATAAAATCCATGTGTAAGCACACATACTATCGCATACTATTCATTTGACTCATAAATGTCAAGTGTGCTTCTGTGTGGATTCTGTTTATGTGTGGTCACATGAAAATCATGTGGAATCTCACATGGAAATTCGTCAATAAAAATGTGTGGAATTTTATTAGTGTACCAGCGATTTCACAAAACTGCCATAATAAAATTGTTATGGTTATTTTAAGCAAAATTAAGGGTATCTTCCAAACCATTAGTGGAAAAGTTCAATTATTTGGGTTATCGTTCGTTTATGGTTATTTTTTTGGTGGACCAACTGATTTCTATTTTTTTATGAAACGCACAAATGTTGGCTACTTTTCTCGTGGTTCTAGAAGAAAAAAAAATCTTAAAATCATGTTTTATTTCAAAGTTTGGGTGGTTGTAAACGTCACGTTAACTGCTCGAATGAACCGGTTAATTGTTTTACTGAATCTCAGCAAAATAAATTGCAGAACTGCTCGGCTGTTGGAATCTCGGCGAAAAAATTTAAGGGTGAGGGTTTACTAGAAGCGAGCCTGGACCCTACCCATCAACTCATGATCCGGGGACCAACGGCTTTACTTCCCTTCCGAAGGCGTGATCAAAGATGTTATGCGTTAGAACATCCAGGCGGCGCCGACGTAATCTCGCTTACTACTACACCACCGGCGCCGCTACCGCAAAATTAATTAATTAATGGATCATTTTAGATGGCTGAGTTTTGAACCCAATGAGCTGGATTACCGAGGTGAAGCAATCACTCACACAACCCCTGTACGATACACGCAAGTACACGCAAGTAGTGACGTCACTACTTGCGTTTACGTTGATTTTTTGGTTTACTAAACAACCCTATTTTACGATCTGCGCCACCTCTCTCTGTACCTCATTGTTTTGAACCCACCACAGCTTTCATTTGGCGTTACTGTACACTGTACCAAACCACCGTCCTCAGTTCGAATGAAACCTCAGACCATTCAAATCGAAACATCGAAATCGCCTTTTCGAATGATAGCTGCAACCGGTGACGGTTGTTTTGAAATCAGATGATTTTCCTCTCGAAAACAGGATGAACATTGTTATGAAAAGAGATAGGCCCTTCAGTTGGAATACGCAATGCTCTCTGCAGAATGATAATAATCTTAAATTGAAATTAATTTGGTATTGGCTCAGCCCCTTAACGTAAATCATTCAAAACGATGATGTAAATAATTCGATCGAACGTCATTTGTTGCTCTGAGTAGACAAATGAGGTGGAAGCATAGACATCGCTATCAGAGGTGGTACGAACATTGGTAAAGGGTGGAAGCTGTAAATTGTCTATTTCGTGGTGGAGGAAGTTTTCTCTACCAATCATAAAGGAATTTTTGTATGCATTATGAAAGACTGTTTATGGCTATTTGATATGGGAATGTAAACAATCGAATTAATAATCTATTCTAAAACACTTGCAAATCATCCTATCCTAAAATTGTTGTCCTCTGAGCCCTGTATGTTTTACAGTCAATTTTCATATAACTATCATCCTTTATTTGGAGGACAGTCATATGGATGCTAGTCAGTTGATGGCGAATTCAACCATAAGGTCGTTCGCAATGCTGAGTTTCAAAATTGTTTTGAACGACTCGACAATTCTATAATTTGAAACTGTCAAAAATAAAACTGCAACACGATCAGCGCAACGCACAGTTCTAAAAGATGTTTGTAATCATCAAGTTCCATAAACTTTACTGTTCTCTATGAAGTTCATAGAGTTTTTTTGTGAAGCTCTTCGAAACATCTTTAAATACATCTAAAGAAATTTGAAACAGAGTTCCATTCGTGTTTCAAACTCGCTCAGAAATAAAACAGAATAGTCGAGTAGTTGCAAATCTGGTGCAAAATAGTGCTCGAATAATGAAACTGCAACTCAGTATTGCGAGAGGTGCGTTTCTGTTCTAGCTTCAAATTGAAACAGTCCTTATAAAATACAACAGCATTGCGAACGGCATAAGGAAATCATCCGAAATTCAACAGCATATTGTTAAAGGGCTCGAGCAATACAATAATCAGTCGAAGTATTGCGGATGTTTTCGTTCAGTGTATACGGACGAACCAATGTAAAATACTGTGGTAGCCACAGTACGGTGCTGTCAAAACCTCAGCATCTTCAATGATCCATTAATTTATTTATCTTTCAGCCTTGGGCTGGTTCGCCTCCAACCGCAAAATTAATGTTGTCCCGGGAAAACATGTTTTGCAGGTTTTATCTTATGAAAACTATGTTTTAAAGCTCATTTTCATGGTTTTATTTATGCAGTCTGTCAACATTATCATCATCATGGAGTGGCGACATGTGCATAGAGTTTTTTTTGACAATCTCCTATTACAGATAAAAAAAATTGCGATGAAAATACAAATTGAAATTTGCAAAAAAAAAAATGGCATCACTGCTTGCCAGCCAAAGCATCAGCTGCTCTGGCTGATGCAGTGATGCAGTCGCAGATCGAGTAGTTTCATTTTGTTTCCCATTCCACGATGTCAATCAGCCGGCTTCAATCGTGCACAACACTCGCTCGAGGCCTTTTCTCGTCTACTTCTATTCGTTTGTTCTGTTCCTCCGTGGCTAAAAGTATGGAAAAACACCAGGTCGTGCCGGATGTCATCCCGGTAGCTCCAGCCGAAGTTGCCAAGGTGAGTTACGCAAGCGGTGTCGTCGTCAACGAGGGCAACGAGCTGACCCCGACAAAAGTGAAGGATATTCCAAAGGTGGAGTGGAACGCGGACAGTTCCGCTCTGTATACCCTGTGCATGACGGATCCGGATGCACCGAGTCGCAAGGAACCGACCTACCGTGAATGGCACCACTGGTTAGTCGGAAACATCCCGGGAGGTGACGTCGCCAAAGGCGAAACCCTGTCGGAATACGTCGGCTCGGGACCCCCAGAGGGAACCGGACTGCATCGGTACGTGTTTCTGGTGTACAAGCAGAACGGCAAGCTTACCTTCGACGAACCGCGTCTGACCAACCGCAGCGGCGATAACCGTGGAGGATTCTCCATCAGGAAGTTTGCCGAGAAGTACCAGCTGGGAAATCCCGTGGCCGGGAACCTGTACCAGGCCCAGTGGGACGATTATGTTCCGCTGTTGTACAAGCAGCTCGGTGCCTAAGGAACGAGCGCGGTGCGAGAAATATAAATTGGAAAATTTCCATGCAATTATATATAACATTGTAATCGTAACATTTAATCCTGAAAGATTTTGCTAGAAACATCCACGAATGGAAGAAATAAATATGGCTGATAAAGAGTGATTGTTTTGTTTTCTTATTATTTGTGTTTATTTTTTGGTTTTATGCTGTCGGCTTGATGGTACACCGAAAATAGTTTTCATGTAGCTTTCATTGGAAACTCACATGATTTTCATCTATAGTCAAAATTAATGGAATTCATATGAATTTCACAAAACATTTATGCAATCAAATTAATTTTATATGATTTTTCATATGAATTTCATCGGCCTCATAATATTCATGTGATTTTGTGGTAGGATTTTCAGCTATGTGATCACAGGAAAGCTATGTGAAATTCACATGGATTTCATCCATTAGATATGTGATAAATTTTTTGAGTGTATTTTTATCATTTTGCATGACACGAACGATGAGCTCGACTTGAAATTTAGTTTGAATCGACTCAATTTTACCAAAAGTGGATTTTTGATTTTTTTTTTCGGAAAAAACTACAGGGTGAATGAGAACAACCCAAATTTGAGTTTAGTTTACTCATAATCGCCCAGAGTGCAGGAACTCAGCGATGAGTAAATTTGCCTCATGTTTTCCTATGAAAACCTCAAAAATCTTAAGGAAAATGAGGAAATTAACAAAAAATGTATTCAGTCTAGGAGTAGTACCAATAGACTGAGTGAATCTAATCTTTACTTTTATCATATTCGGGAATTATTTCCTGGAAAAACATGAGGCAAATGTACTCATCGCTGAGTTCCTGCACTTTATGTGATTTATGAGTAAACAAAACGCAAATTTGGGTCGTTCTCATTCGCCGTGGAATATGAGGAAAATCCTTGGGAAAATCAGAAAACTTCAACTAAAATTTTCCGGAAAAAAATCAAATAACCCTACTTTTTATAATCATATACTCAACACGGCGAAGAGAACAACCCAAATTTGAGTTAAGTTAATTCATAAATCACAAAGTGCAGGAACTCAGCGATGAGTAAATTTGCCTCATGTTTTTCCAGGAAAGAATTTCGGAATATGATAAAAGTAAAGATTGGATTCACTCAGTCTATTGGTACTACTCCTAGACTGAATAAAATTTTCGTCATTTTCCGGCAGATTTTTGAGGTTTTCTATAGGAAACCATGAGGCAAATTTACTCATCGCTGTGTTCCTGCACTTTTGGTGATTATGAGTGAACTAAACTCAAATTTGGGGCGTTCTCATTGGCCGTGTACCTGTGGTAAAATTTCATATGCCGAGTTCCAGTGTCATAGACCTGTCCGATAATAAAATCCCCAGTAGTTTTTTTTTCAACTGCTCGAATAAATATCTTCAACCCACTGTGCCACTGGAAGAGCTTTTAATAAAAGCTGCATTTTTTTAAAGCGTGCTGTTTACTGTTTGGGCGCAATTTCTTGACAGCGCTTTGTTTACGTACTCGTACATTTTGGATTCATAGGGATTGATTCACTTCTCCTGTAGTTTCGGTAGTTTCACGAACTGCAATTTCGTTGCTGTTGGAACCATGTTATTTCCGGAGGATAAACATTTTACTGCTTCTCACCTGGGTGAGGATTTCAAGCGGTTGGATGTGCCGTATACGAACCGATCGGACAAGTTTCATTTCAAGTCGAAGGACTTCACCAAGCAATTCTCTCACATCTATGCCTCGCGTCTGGATGAAATGGAATCGCTAATCAAGGAACGGGTCAAGCAGAAATGGGGTAAGTTCCACGCTGAGATGCCCGGCCCGAGTGAAATTAAAATATTGGTCTGTGCTATATTAGGTAACAAACATCCGGTCAAGCAGTTGGCCGAATTGAAGGAGGACAGCCCCGAACAGTGCATCATTATCGGAACGTTGTTCAAGCATCAGGAGTTGAAACCTAGCATCTTGCGGGAGATTTCCGAGGAGAACCAGTTGGTGCCACAGCCTCCCCGCTCCCACTACACCGATGATGCCGATATACTGATTCTGGAAGATGCCCTGCAGCGCATCCGTTTGATGGGCAAAATTGACGTACATTCGGTTGTGACCGGGGCAGTTTGCGCCGTACTAGGTAAGGCAATTCTGGAGGGCCAATTTTCAGCTTGTTCAGTAATGCGCGACGACGAGCTTTTTGGTGAGGAAATAGTTTGTAAATGTATGAATATTTTCTTCCATTCCATGCTCGAAAACTATGAAACTCTTGAAACATGAAATATCTGAAAATCAGGAGTGGACAGTAAGTGGCCATAGGTAGTGATTCATTTGAGTTTGCACATGTACTTCATCTTTTTTTTTTATTGTCTAACAGTCGTTTTTCGATGTTCCTTTTATACATTCCAAAGCACAAAAGTCACAATTTATGTTCGGCAACTTATGAATCTGGCAATCACCCCTTTACCTAAATTTGCTTGGTAATTGGCAATTATAAAAATCCGGTTGGCACTGTAATTAAGTGTATAGCATTTGTTCTTAAATGTTTAACATTTATGTTAAAAACTAACCCCTTTTTCTATACGTCAACTCCTAGGTTACGAAGACGGAGACGGGCGTTTCCGTGTGGAAGACTACCTCTTCTACGAAAGTGGACCACAGAAGCCATTGAAATCGTTGGAATGCTCCCCTCTGCTAGTATTAATTTCCGGATTAAACCTGGTTCGTATTTTATCCAATAATCTCCAACCGAAACCTTTCTTCATCCCAAACATTTTCCTCCGTAGAGTTCTCCGAATGACTTCTCCATGTCGATGGAGCTGCTGCAGCAGTGGATCTTTGGCAATCTGGAGGGATTCGGCCAGAGCCGGGACTGGGAAGCGGCTAGCGTGGTTCGAGTCGTCATAGCTGGCAATTCGGTAAAGGCCTCGGTCAAACCGAAGAACAATCTCCACGGTCGTCCCACCGTCGAATCCACCGATCTACTGAATGCCGTCAAAGCGGTCGATACCTTCGTTCATAATCTGGCCCAGTCGGTCAGTGTGGATCTGATGCCAGGGGAGTTCGATCCAGCAAATCACATGCTGCCGCAGCAACCCATGCACCAGTGCATGTTCCCCAAGGCGGTGTCCTTCAAAAACTTCCGGGGATTGTCCAACCCGTATGCATGCGAAATCTCTGGGCGCTCCATCTTGGGTACCTCGGGGCAGAATGTGCATGACGTTTCAAGATTCTCGAAAATTGAAAACCCCTTGGAGGCGCTGAAAAGCACACTGGTGTGGAGTCACATTGCCCCTACGGCTCCGGATACTCTGCCCTGCTATCCGTATTACCAGAAGGATCCGTTCGTTATTAGTGAGTGTCCACATGTGTACTTTGCTGGTAATACGGGGGAGTTCAGAACGGAGATCTGGGAGGGCAGTAATGGTCAACGAACGAGGTTGGTTTGCGTGCCTTCGTTTGCGGAGACACATTCCATTGCGGTGGTGAATCTTAGGACACTGGACTGTCAGCAGCTCAGTTTCAAGGTGAATGAATTCGATGATACGGAAGAATGACTATTGCAGGAGTGAGGTAGAAAATAGTATTTATATGCGTTAAATAAACTGATTTTTTTTTCGGAGTAAAGGTACGGATTTTTTAGGCCGAGTTAGAATAAAACGAGTGCTTCTGGTTTGACGAATGATTTATTGAATGAATGGTTTATTATGTCTAAACAATTTAGGGGCTGAATTGAATTGAATGATTGAATGACTTTCTACCTCCTTGGCGAATGAAGACAGGGTCAGCAAAATCAACTCCCGATTTGGAGAACGGTGGAGCATGGACGACTCGAACCTCTGGCAAATCACCCGTAACTTGTTTCCGCAACAGTCCCAGATTGTTGCAACCGGTCATGGGTGATTTACCAGAGGTTCGAGTCGTCCCTGCTCCACCGTTCTCCAAATCGGGAGTTGATTTTGCTGACCCTGTCTTCATTTGCCAAGGAGGTAGAAAGTCTACTCAAAGGCTATCCATCTTGAATTGGTTTCGGATTTGTCTGCTTCAGCGTTTATAGCAGCACTCCATCGGTTTGTTTCCCGACGCGGTCTCGTTGATGAAGTTTTCTCAGATCCAAATGAACTGGAAGCTATTACACCCGGTCACTTCCTTATTGGTCGTGAACTTATCGCTATTCAAGAACCAACACTGGAAGATACGAACATTAACCGTTTATCCCGTTGGCAACTCGTTCAACGCCTGCGTGATGATTTCTGGAGAAGATGGTCTCGTGAATACTTGAACACTCTCCAAACTAGATTAAAGTGGACGAAAAGATCCAAGAACATTGAGCCTGGAATGATTGTTTTGTTAAAAGATGAAAATCTTCCACCCCAATCGTGGAAACTGGGTCGCATTGTTGATGTTTCCAGGAGCTGATTCCGTTGTTAGGGTCGCAGATGTCCAAACCAGTAATGGAGTACTTCGTCGTCCCATCTCGAAGCTAGCCCCCCTGCCCGTTGAACCTATTGTCATCCAAACCCTTCTTCGCCCGGGGGGAGAATGTTCGCACTCAGAGCGAACGTAATGATTTATTGTTCTGTTAGTGAACTGATCCACCCTATAGTGGATTAACTTAGAAACCAACAAACTCACTTAATTAGCAAGAGGTAAAGGTATTCCTTCGAATTGGCAATAAACACAACTTTCAGGTTTGGATATCAGAATACTTCTAATTTATTTCATCGTTCGATCAACCGTTTATAATTCCCTACATCTTTAATGCTCTCTTCTCACTGTTCTTCGAATGAGAGGATTTATCGTTTCCGCTCTTTTCTTATCGAAAGTGGTGTCTTCCATTTAGCCACCATAGTTAGTAGTTTTGTTATTATTTTGTTAATCCTAACCGCTTTCCTAATCCATATGACATCCTACTAACCCCGAGCCGACCGCGGGAAATCGGTTAGGATGATTAACAAAATAATAACAAAACTACTAACAGAACAATAAATCATTACGTTCGCTCTGAGTGCGAACACATATCCACTAGTCGATCTGCGGCTATCAGGATCTCCTCAATCGGGATCGCTATATCCTATTAACAGCCGCCCAATGCGGTCTGCTAGGATTAAGCAAACTGACTTACTACATTTACGGCAAACGCAATATCGGGTCGAGTCGTCTGTGCCACGAACGATAAACATCCTACCGCTTCATTGTATAACACGTTTTTCATCTTCATCTTCTCTTCTTCAGTCTCAGGTGCCATCGACTTTTCCAGTCTAAAATCCGAATCAGCTGGAGTAGCTACCGGGTTCGTATCTGCCATTCCAAAGCGTCGAACGAATATCTCAATGTAGGTCCATTAGGTCCTCGCTTGATTGCAAAAACCCACTTGGCTTTGCGTCCCTTGGGTAGATTCGTCATTGTCCACGTCTGGTTTGGCACTCAATGACGCCGATAGGAGAGCGTGGCCGCTACAGGCATCGTCAAAAGTTTCACCAGACGTGTCTAACATACTGTTTCGACTATTTCCTGCTACTTCTTCTTCTTCATTATTGGTTGCGTTTTCTTCAGGGCGTTCAATAGGTACAAGGAATCCTCCGTGAATAACTTTATGAATTCAACTGCTTGAAAATCTTGAATACATCCTGTGCTGAAATATTGTGCATCTTCGTTGATCACTACCATGTCACGACTGATCTCGAGCTTGTTGCTCTCCGGACAATACACGCGGTATCCTTTCGTGTCCTCGCAATAGTCTACGAATATACCCTTTGCTGCTTTCGGACCGAATTTCTTACGCTTGACCTTCGGAATATGGACCATTACGATTGTACCGAAAACTCTCAGATGCTGCGAATCAGGTCTCTTTCTGGTCCAGATTTCTTCAGGCGTCTTGTGTCCATTGGATCTCGTTGGTGATCGGTTCACCAAATATGCTGCATCGCGCCTTTCCGAACAAGTGTCCTATTCATTCTTTCCGCTGTGTCATTCTGCTCTAGAGTGTACGGGTAGGTCTCTCGTTTGTTATCTGTCCTGCTTATTTTGAGTTTTTACCTGTCTGACGTTCTGTCTTTGCTCGGAACAATTTGAACGCATCCAGTGCTTCGCTGTTGGCCTTCAAGAAGTGAACTGCCACTCTCTTGCTAGCATCATCTAAAAATGTAACAAAATATCTACTGCCACCCAAGGAAAAAAACACTACTGGTTCGCAGAGATCAGAATGTACCAGCTCCAGCAGTACTGATACCCTGGAATCTCTCTTCAGGAGCGGTTTTCGATCTTATTTTCCTTCCAGAGACACTTGGCAATCCTTCACCGTTTCACCTTGAAAATCCATACCATTCGACACGTGCTACTTCAAATTTCTCAATTTTTGGCAATGTGGACGATGGATGGTTCTCCCAGCAGCTGGTGCAATTCGTGGTTCATTCGCCTCCTCCACGTTCCGTCATCCATCTGCACTCCACCGTTGATGGTACGCAACACCTTCCGTTCGAAAACACCAAGGGCGCGTTGGTCCTCCACGAGCATAGTCCAGGTCTCGTGGCCGTAGAGGACCACCGGTCTAATCAGCGTCTTGTAGACAGTCAACTTCGTGCGGCGGCGAATTTTATTCGACCGGAGCGTCCTCCGGAGTTCAAAGTAGGCACGATTCCCTGCCATAATGCGTCTTTGAATTTCTCTGCTGGTATCATTTTCGGCGGTCACCAGTGAGCCCAAATACACGAACTCATCGACCACCTTGATTTCGTCACCGTCAATCTGAACTCGGGGTGGGAGGCTAATATTGTCTTCCCTAGAACCTCTTCCTTTCATGTATTTTGTCTTTGATGCGTTGATGGCAAGTCCAATCCGCCTAGCTTCAGCCTTCAGTCTGATGTACGTTTCCGCCATCGTCTCAAAGTTCCGTGCCATGATGTCGATGTCATCGGCAAAGCCAAGAAGCTGGATGGACTTTCTGAAGATCGTGCCACTCATGTCTATCCCAGCTCTTCTGGTCACATCTTCTAACGCGATGTTGAATAGCAGATACTAAAGCCCATCACCTTGCCGTAACCCCCTTCGAGATTCAAAGGGACTCGAGAGTGTCCCCGATACTCGAACAACGCACATCACTCGATCCATCGTCGCCTTGACCAATCGCGTCAGTTTATCCGGAAATCCGTACTTATTGTGTCGATTGTGTCGTATGCGGATTTGAAATCGATGAATAAATGATGTGTGGGCACGTTGTATTTGCGGCATTTCTGCAGAACCTGCCGAATCGCGAAAATTTGGTCCGTGGTAGCGCGGGCACCCATGAATCCCGCCACGAATATCTTGCAAAAGGTTACAGGTGGCGGCATAGAATTTGGGAGAGTACCTTGTAGGCGGCGCTCAGCAGTGTGATCGCGCGGTAGTTGCAGCAATCCAACTTGTCGCCCTTTTTGTAGATTGGGCATACGACACCTTCCATACACTCCTCCTGTAATACCTCCTCCTCCAAAATCTTGGCAATTACCCAGTGCAGCGCTCTAGCCAGTGCTTCACCACCGTATTTTAATAGCTCACTTGGTAGTTGATCTACACCAGTTGCTTTGTTGTTCTTCAGCCGATCGATCTCCTCCTCAACTTCTTGAAGATCAGGGGCCGGTGGCCTGTCGTCTTCTGCGCGTGCTCCAAGGTATGTTGCCATGCCACCTTCGTTTTCTGATGCTTCACCGTTGAGGTGCTCGTCATAGTACTGCTTCCACCTCTCAATTACCTCACACTCGTCCGTGAGAAGGTTACCGTCCAAGTCCTTGCACATACCGGCTTGCGGCACGTAGCCTTTGCGCAAACTATTTAGCTTCTCGTAGAACTTCCGTGTGTCGTTTACGCGGTACAGATTTTCCAGGTCTTCCTGCTGACGCTTCTTCCTTCGGAAAACCGAGTTTTGTCTGTTCCGCGCTTGTCTGTATCGCTCCACATTCAATCTCTTCTCACAATCTATTGCAGCATTCTCGCCCGTGCTGCATTCTTCTCCTCTACTAACAGTTTGCATTCGCCGACAAACCAGTCATTTCTTCGGTCCGGGATTGCAGTACCTAGTGCCGCTGCAGCAGTACAACCTATGGCGGAACGCGCCAAACTGCTCTTCCGTGGGTAGTGCAACTTCCAGCTGCTGCGCGTAGTCCTGGGCAACTCCGGCGTCCCGTAGTTGCTCAATGTTGGGTCGCGGCGTTCGACTTCGACGGGTGTTATGCACCGTCGAGAGTTTTGAGCGCATGCATACTGCAACTAGGAAGTGGTCCGAATCTATGTTCGCACTGCGGTACGTGCGGACGTTGATAATGTGGCTTTGTGAATATCCTTGCGGGGGAAAAAGGTACTTCGAACTACCATTCCTCGAGAGACTGCAAAGTTCACGCATCGTTGGCCGTTGTCGTTCGATACGGCATGCAGGCTGTTTGGCCCGATTGCCGGTCTATACATTGCCTCCCCTCCTACCTGAGCGAATAAATCACCTCTCAAAGAGACAAAGTGAGAAGTGTTCATTTAATATTTTTGCCCTACTGTTTTCTATTTCCTATTTGATTATTAAAGTGTTCTGTTCTCTACGCACCCGCATGTAATTTCTCTTGTGGTTCCTTTTCTTCTGATCCGGTCGCGTTCTGCA